TTTGTCCTTAGCTCGGGAAGGAGGGGCTCCAGAGCAAACGAATTGATGCAGAAGCCAAATCACTCACAACTTTAATGCCAGGAGCTCGCGAAGTAGAATTTGTGCTCACAAGACCCCGCAGCTTAAGCTTAAGCTGCGGGGTCTTGTGAGCACAAATTCTACTTCGCGAGCTCCTGGCATTCGAGTTGGGAGCGAGCGCTCGGGCTGCTGCGTAAATGAAAGTTGGGTGACCCCGCCGTGCCGGCAGGCGACGCGCCCCTCTAGCTCCGGCCTCTTGCTGCCTGTCGAGCGGGGGCGTGCTCTGCGTCCGGGGCTCGGCGTCCGAGGAGGCGGAGCGGAGCGGCGCGGCGGCTTGCCGGGAGGAAGGCGAGGCGGCGCGGCATGGCTGCGGCGGAGGCTCCCCGGGTGCTGGTCTACGGCGGGCGGGGCGCGCTGGGCTCCCGCTGCGTGCAAGCCTTCCGGGCCAAGGACTGGGTGAGCTCGGCTGCCTGGCTGGGGTGTGCTTTGGGCTGCAAAGGGGCTCGGGCGGAAGGCCTTTGGGGTTCGCGCCCTGCCCGGCGCCAGCGGGGGAGCCGCGGTCGAGCCCCGTTTCGCCCCAGCCGTGCCTTTCCTTTGCGCCCTTTCCACGCGTGCAGAGTCGCGCCCTTTCGGCCCAGCTGCCATTGGCAAGTGGGCCGTCTGGCCCTTTCGCCCGGGAGGATCCCGTGCGGCGCTCCCTCTGAGCCGTGGAGTCTTGGGAGGAGTACCAATCCATGTTCCCTCTGAGCTGTGGAGTCTTGTGAGCAAAAAGTCTACTTTGTGAGCTCCTGGCATTCAAGTGGTGAGCGGGCGATTCGGCTGCTGCATAACTTAGTTTGCTCTGGAGAGATCCTTCCTGAGCTGAGACCAAAATGTGTGAGCCAGAGGCTAAAGAAAAGTGGGCTAGCTCACACTAACTCAGCTTAGAGGGAGCACTGGTACAAATCCTACTTTGTGAGCTCTACCGGCATGAAAGTTGGGAGCCGGCGATTGGGCTGCTGCATCAGTTTGTCTGCTCTGGAGCCCCCTCCTTCCCCAGCCGAGACAAAAATGAGTGTGCCGGAGGCTAAAAAACCCTGTGAGCTGGCTCACACTCACTCAGCTTGGAGGGAACGCTGATCCAGTGGCAAAAGTGCATTGCGGGTGGACCCAAAGTGCATTATGCAGCAGGTGTAAAAGTGCCCTTTGTGTCTAGCCCTCCTTGGACCACCAGTGGGGGCCCAGATCGGCTTACGTCATTCTCCTCTCCTCCTGGGTGATCCTCACAACAACCCGGCGAGGTAGGTGAGGCGGAGGAGTCTGTGACTGGCTGGCCCAAGGGTCACCCAGCAAGCTTCCCAGGCATGAGTCAGGATTTGAACCTGGATTTGAATGCCCCAGTTTATGGACCGCCTGTGGGATCGGCTTCGCGCTGTGGTTCGTTACAGTGTCAGGGTGGGTTAAGGTAAAGGTTCCCTTGCTCGAAAGCCAGTCAAATCCGACTCTAGGGTTGTGGTGCTCATCTCCGTTTCAAAGCCGAAGATCCAGCGCTGTCCGAAGACGTCTCCGTGGTCATGTGGCTGGCATGACTAAACACCAAGGCGCACAGAACGCTGTTACCTTCCCACTGAAGTGGTACCTATTTATCTACTTGCAGTTTCTTGCTTTCGAACTGCTAGGTTGGCAGGAGCTGGGGCCAGAGACGGGAGCTCACTCCGTCATGTGGCACACTCGGGTCTCGAACCGCTGAACTACCGACCTTCCACAGCCTGCAGTTCAGCGTCTTAACCACTTGAGCAGGGTGGGTTACAAGAGTTAAAATCCAACCCCAGGAGCTGTCCCTGTGCAATAAAACTCCCCTCCCGTGAAAAGAGGGGGCCCTGCATGGAAATACTGAGGAGGTGGGAGGGAGGCAGGAAACTAAGAGCTCGGAGGAAACCTCTGCTGGGAGGAAGGTCTTTAAATGGGGAGGGGCTTTGGGCATCTACCTGAGGGGGACTTCAGAAAAGTCTGCAGCTATAGAACTGAGTCCTTTCTCCGAAATGTATTTGAACAGATCTGGTTTGCTGTTTAGAAATCCTTCAATATCTCGTGTGTGTGTGTGTTTTGTCAGTGGGTGGCCAGCATTGATTTAGTGGAAAACGAGGAGGCCTGTGCCAACGTCCTTGTGAAAATGAGTGACTCGTTTGTGCAACAAGCGGATCAGGTAACTGACCTCCCTCAAAAATTAATCAAATAATCTTATGTATGCATTTGTAACATTTGTGAGCCGCCTTTCTCTCTTTCGGAACTCAAGGTGGCTTACAAAACCGATAAAACGCTATGGTAAATACAATAAAAGCAAAAATTGTAAAGCTCGTTAATTTTTTTTTAAACCCTGTTTTATTATTACTTATTGAAATAATCAGAATAGAACCTGGGAAATGCTCGAGTGTTTGGCTTTCTGGAGGAAGTTTGTTCCCTTACTGTCAAGTCACAAGCTTACTTCCGGTGACCCTGTAGGGTTCTCAAGGCAAGAGATGTTCCAGAGTGGTTTGCCATTGCCTGCCTCCACATCATGACCCTGGTATTCCTTGGAGGTCTCCCATCCAAATACTAACTAGGGCTGACCCTGCTTAGCTTCCAAGACTGGATGAGATCAGGCTAGCCTTGTCTGTCCAGGTCAGGGTCTGAAGATTGGATACCTTAACATTTTATCTCAGGAGGGATGGGGTTTCCTGATGAGCATTGGGGGTTTTGATACTTCACAAGAGGCAAAAAGGCGGTCGGAGCAGCATCCTTCATAACTGCCTCTCCAGTGGCTGAACTGGAACACATGGAATTCACTTCCATGGGAGGTGGTGGCGGCTACAAGCATGGACGGCTTCAAGAGGGAATTAGGTAAGCATATGGAGCAGAGGTCCATCCGTGGCTATTAGCCACAAGGTATAGATAGGAACTCTCAGGCTGGGGCAAGGGATGCTCTGTATTCTTGGTGCTTGGGGGGGGGGGCAACAGTGGGAGGGCTTCTAGTGTCCTGGCCCCACTGCTGGACCTCCTGATGGCACCTGGTGTTTTTGGCCACTGTGTGACAGAGTGTTAGACTGGATGGGCCATTGGCCTGATCCAACACTGGCTTCTCTAATGTTCTTATGTTAACTGCAGCCCTTAAATACATAGTATTGATTTCAAGGAAAAGGTTCCCCCTGGGATATGCCAGCAGTCATGGAGGGAAGACACTCCTGTCAAGTATTGGAAACAAGAGGGAATACCCTCTAAGAAGGAATTAATTTCTAAAGTATTAGATGTGGTAGAAATGGATAAATTATCTACAATTTTGCAGGGGAGAGATGATGCACTGTTTGTATATAGATGGAAAATTTTTTTATACCTGGATAGATAAGAATTAATGTACTAAGCAATAATTACTATATATGACTCCAAAAGTCTACTGTCTTGCTGTACAAGATGTGTTTATTTTATATTGTATGGTTTTCTGAAAACTTAAAAATAAAACAATTTTTTTAAAAAAAGAGATAAATTAGGCTGCATAGGAGAAATCCATTACTAACTGGTTGTTAATGTACTTATAATCTAATTATAATATTCTTGAATTTTAATGCTTAATTGAAGCTGGTTAGTTGATTAAATTTTGGTGGTTGTGTGTTTAAAAAAAAAGAAAAGGAAGGAAGACACTCCAGTCTTTGCCTGCAGGTACAGACCTTGGGTAGCTCACCCAAGTGGCATCGCTGCCAGTTGTTAAAAATACTTTTTGCTCCTCTGTATCTGGAAAATCTTTTATCATGTAAAAAAAGGGAACAGAGAGGAGGACGATTCTATCCTTCTCCTCGACCTGCTAGATGCAGAATTTTAAAAAATGGACCAGTATTAAATTCTAGACCAAAGTTTGAGTCCTTGGCACCTTTGAGACCAACCAAGTGCGATGAAGTGTGCATGCGCATGAAAGCTTCTAGCCCGGGATTAAGCTTCGTTGGTCTGAAAGGTGCCCCCCCTGGGCTCAAACTTGGTTCTGTTGCTTCAGACCAACACGGCCACCCCACCTGAATCTGCCTGTATTAAGTTATGTGAGTCCCACCTGCAACCTGAAGTGGTCCAGCCCGGATGCAGCTCTGCCACTTTGCAGAGGATTCAGAGACAGAGGAGACAGAGCTGCTGTAACTTGCAGGGTTGCCACTTACTGGAAAGTCGTGGAAATGAACATTGGTCAGGGAAAGTAAGGGAAATCGTGATTAAGATATATTCAAGCAGTGGATTTTTGACCTGCTGCTGCAAGAGCCTGACCTGTTCTTGTGGCAACTGGAATAGAGAAGGAGCAGAACACAAGTAGAACTCAGTGATGCCCTTTCCCAACCCTTTTAGACAGAACGTTGATATAATTTTTAGTGTACCTTTAAAACAAGAACAAAAATGTCATGTCATTTGTTAGCATTCAGAGTTTACTTGAACTGCAATTTGTATCTTGGTGTCATTTTTGGTGCCATTGCACAACAGTTAATGTTGAAAGAAGCTGATATTAAATCTCTTTGACAAATATTTTTGCAGCTGAGACTTGTGTAGTTGTAGAGTGGAACCTTACCTTGCATTAATGCAATACATTTTTTAACTTGTGGTTATATTTGAATGGTGGTCAGGGAAATTGACAAATGTTGGTCAGGGAAAGTCAGGGAAATGAAAAATAAAATTTTAGTGGCAAGCCTGACTTATTCCATCCATGAAGTGCAGCCTCAATTTGCCTCGGGCTGTTTGGGGAGGAAGGAGGAGGAGGGTCAGTCCTTCAGTCTCGGCTCTCCTCTCCCTTGCCTGCACAGCCCTGAGGCAAATTTGAGGCAGCAGTTCCCGTTTTATAGACGGATCCTTTTGCGCTTGGAGTGAATCGTTGTGTTTTTAGTCTGGATGCTTACAAACTCTGGTGAGTGTCTCTGGGAAAGTGCCCTCACAAAGTCTTCATCTTCGCCCGTTTCAAGGTGACAGAAGATGTCGGGAAACTGTTGGGAGAAAAGAAGGTGGACGCGATCCTTTGCGTCGCTGGTGGATGGGCCGGAGGCAGCGTTAAAGCCAAATGTAAGCTGCAGAGTCGTGTGTGCAACCGAGGCAGTTCTGTGTGTGCCCTTTGAAGAAGAAGAAGCAGGGGATGGTGCGCATCCCTCTCCCTCCCTCAAGATTTAAAGGGCCCTCCAGCTGCGGCGGCTCAAGTGGTTAAGACGCTGAACTGCAGGCTGTGGAAGGTCGGTCGTTCAGCAGTTCGAGACCCGAGTGTGCTGCAGATGGCGTGAGCTCCCGTCTCTAGTTCCAGCTCCTGCCAACCTAGCAGTTCGAAAGCAAGAAATTGCAAGTAGATAAATAGGTACCACTCGGTGGGAAGGTAACAGCGTTCCATGCGCCTCGGTGTTTAGTCATGCCGGCCACATGACCACGGAAACATCTTCGGACAGCGCTGGCTCTTTGGCTTTGAAACGGAGATGAGCACAGCAACCCTAGAGTCGGACTCGACTGGCTTTCGAGCAAGGGAACCTTTACCTTTACCTTTTACCAGCTGATCGGTGGGCCACGTGCTCCCTGCCGATCAGCTGAAGAGCCCTTTAAATCTTGCGGGAGGGGAGGGACAGGGGTGGCCGCTGGCAGTCGGGCTTGGGGGCGGATTGGGGCTGTCCTACATGTTTGCCCCACAAGCCACAAAACCCTGGCTGTGGGCCTGATGGTTCGTTAGGGTCCTTCAGGCCAGGATCTGAAGTCGGCTCATGAACCACAGTTTGCCTTGATGACGGTTTCGCACTGTGTCCAATGCAGGCATACCAGTTTGCTGTCTGGCACTGCCCTCCCAGGCAACAGAGAGAACGAAATCCCTGGAAGTATCACGGAAAAAAACCTGGACTCCATTTCAGACTATGTGCTGACTCCCCGGAGTTTAATGGAAAACAGACACCCAAACTTTTCCTCCCCAAACACATTTTGATCTCTTGAAATGCCAGGCAGAACTGGATGCAGCTAATATGTGCTGGAAACTTGTTGCGAAACTGCACAGGAAGTCGTTTTTGCCAGCAGCCTTCCTGCTGTACAAAAATAATGTGCATCTCGCACGAACGATACTGCCTGTGCTAACATTGTGTGGCGTTTTTAACGTGGCACACACAGTGGCCTCAGAGCCCCATTCTGTTGGGAAAATGCCACCCACCCAGAGGGAGCCCTAGCCCAGAGGGGAAACTGAGTCACGAATCAGCTAGTCCCAGATCTTCCTTGTGAAGCAGCATTTTGGGAAAGAAACTGGCCTCTCTCCTGAGACAGGTCAGGCTTCCCAGTGTCCAGCCATAAGGGCTTTCCAGCTTTTGAGAAGAAGTGGGGGGGATGCATGTACCCCTCCCCATTCTTAAAAAAAAACCCTCAAAAAATCTTGTGGGGCTGGCCCCTTATGGAAGGGGGCAGAGCCCCTAACAGTCCTACTGTAGCTATGGGCCAGAAAACCATCGTTTAGGGCACAGTGCTCGTTCAGACAGTCATGTTAACGATTGTTTACCGAACTCCCTGTTCGCTCCACGTCTGAACTGCCTCCATATTGGACCGAGGGAGTGCTCAGGTTGCCCCTTGGCATCAGTGGGATCCACACCAGGAATTAAGCGGCGGTGAACTAGCCACAGTTCTGCTCTGAAGGCACCTGTGTCTGCCTGCTAATGTGCAGGGATCGCGACCCTGAGGAGTTAGGGTCTTACTTGCTGGCTCTGTGGAACGTCTGCCGCAGGGCAAGACATTTCAGGAGGAGTTTCAAATCTGACAAACGGAAGGAGAAGCAGTGTTTGTGTGGGGGTGTGGGGGTGATTCCATCAGAAAGTGGGTTGTAAGCAATCTTCCCTCTAAGCTATGGAGCCCTGTGAGCAAAAATTCCACTTTGTGAGCTATTGGCATTAAAGTTGTGAGCAGGAGATTTGGCTGCTGCATAAATTAGTTTGTTCTGGAGCCATCCTCCCTGAGCTAAGACAAAAATGTGTGAGCCGGAGGCTAAAAAATTGTGAGCTAGCTCACACTAACTCAGCTTAGAGGGAACACTGGTTGTGAGACCTCAGCAAGGGGGTGATCCTTGCTGTTTCCCCCCATGATGGCTGACGCCCTGCGGTTTCCTTGTTGCCCAGCCTTGTACAAAAACAGCGACCTGATGTGGAAACAGAGCGTCTGGACCTCCACCATCTCCAGCCACTTGGCGACGAAACACCTGAAGGACGGCGGCCTGTTGACCCTGACGGGGGCAAAAGCAGCCTTAGCTGGGACTCCGGGTAAGATAGAAAACGTTACGGGTGTTTCGGGTCGTGGTAGTTCTTTGGCCCTTCGGTTAGTCCTGCGGGAGAAAAGCTGCTTCCAGGTTCTCTGGCCCGCAACGTGTCTGCGATGTGGGGCCAACCCGGATCCTGGTGGGTGGAATGTCAGGCTCTCTGTTAGAAATCGGCAAACGAGGGAAACGGTTTGGAGGCATGGCCGTGACAACCTTTCGACAGGCTCCAAGAGTGACCCAAGCAGGTTGCTGCTTGGAGAAAGAGAGTGGGTAGGGGGCTGAACTTGTATTTGCTTTTGGAGGGGTTGGCAGTGACGGGGTTGATGCCAAGAGCCGGCCTGTTTACTTTGACTTCTGCTTTATGCTTACCAAAGGCCACTGACCTCCACCGCCCTTCTACCATCGATCGTGTCATGGACCTTGCGTTCCTGTAACTCCTGCCTTGCAGGGAACAGCAGTAGGAACAATCTCCCCTTCAGGGTCCTCCCGGGCCCATCCATCTCCTGTTCTGAGAAACCGTGAATTCTGCAATGTGCGTTAATTATGTAGATTGGGCAGATTTGACTAATTTATTCTAATCATGGGATGGGGCAAGCAGATAAGCAAGGCATCAGAGTCTTCAAGAGGGAATCCAACAGCTTCAAGAGGGAATTAGATAAGCGCAAGAAGGGGGACCCGCAATACTCGCGGGTGGGAGGGGAGAAGCTCCACAGGAGGAGAAGGAAGCAGCCGCAGGTGAGCCTTCTCCCCTGCCTCATCCCCGTTTCCGGCACCCACGGCGAGGCCCGCGCCCCTCCAAGCTTCCCTCTTCCCCTAGCCCCCCTTTAAAGCTCTCTATCTATCCCTGTGGCCATCACTTTGTCACTTCTGATCACTGCTGAGAGGCGCCTTTACAGAGGTTACAAGTATAATGGGTCACATTATAGAGAAAATCGTTACAAATTCCGAATAAATCACTGTTCCTAGCAAGAGCCTTGCAGCTGTCCTGGTTTCCTGAAGCGCCCCCAAAATGGCGGAAGAAGATGAAGAGGAGGAGGTTGGATTTATACCCCGCCCTTCACTACTCGAAGGAGTCTCAGAGCGGCTTCGCATGGAGGGGGCATGTTGGGAATTAGATATATAGATAGGAAGCAGAGGTCCATCAGTGGCTATAAGCCACAAGGTATAGGTAGGAACCCTTAGCCTGGGGGAAGGGATGCTCTGTATTCTTGGTGCTTGGGGGGGGGGGCAACAGTGGGAGGGGTTCTGGTGTCCTGGCCCCACTGCTGGACCTCCTAAGGGCACCTGGTATTTCTGGCCCCTGTGTGATGGAGTGTTGGGCTGGATGGGCCATTGGCCTGATCCAACATTGGCTTCTCTTATGTTCTTATGTCCTGCTGCCAAGCCCTGGAAATCTCACCCTGTTGCCTTTGGAGATTGTGAAGGTCGTTCCCCTGCATGCAGTCAGGTGCCTCTTCACAGGCATAAGCCCCAGAGTAGTGATACTGTCCAAAAGCTGGACTTGGTCACTTGCAGTGGAGTTTTTACTGAGTTGTTCCAGGTGCAGTGTCCTGACTATACGGCTGAGGCCTTTGCAGTGCCTCAGAGAAATTTGTGGAGAAGATCTCTACCAGCGGCTACTACCTAGGGTAACTAAATGGAACCTCCATGCTCAGAGGCAGTATACCTCTGAACGCCAGGATCAATGAGAGGGAGGAAGCTGCTGCCTTCTTTGTGTGTGCCTTAAAAGTACAGGGGGGACAGCATTGGGAACGTGGTATGCTGGGCTCAGTGGAGCATGGGTCTGATCCAGTAAGGTGGTCCCGGTGTCCTAGCATAGTAGGACCATGAGGAGTTCCAGAGGGATCTGTTGAGGCTGGGCGAATGGGCGTCAGCATGGCAAACAAATGGTTTTGGCCACTGTGTAACAGAAGCGTGTTGGACTGGATGGGCCTTTGGCCTGATCCAACATGGCTTCTCTTATGTTCTTAAATCCTGATCTTTCTTGCTCCTTATGTACATGGATGCAACCAGACTGTAAAGATCTTCTTGAGCACATTTAGTCTGGACATAGTCTGGACATAAACGATTTTATGCTTTTTTTTTAATGGTCACCCTGATTGTGGGATGTAAACCAAAAAGTCTTAAATGCGCAAAGAGATGGACAAGGTCCCGGACCCTTCCTGCATGTCTAACAGAATATTTTGATCTGGATTGTCTGGTGTTTGCTGCGAGAGAATACTGTCCAAGCTTTCTTTACCATTTCATAAGGGAAGAAGGTTGTGGGGGTTAGGGAGAGTCAACTTCCCGTCAATGTGGCCCAGTTTCGCTGCTTGGGAAGCGAAGGATGGGAGGGGGGGAGCCAAGCATTACATCGGTGGCGCCCCTTTTGCAGTCTGAAGTGGGCCGTTCCACTTCAGACTGCAAAAGGGGGCGCCACTGATCTAAAGCTCTTCCATAGAAAAACATTCCCTGCACCAGAAATCTAGATGTTGGGGAGATGACTATAATAGAACCCCCTCTTCCTGACATGCTAGTTTTCTATAAGCGGGGGAAGGGTTTTTTTTCACGATACATCAGTTGGTTAGGTGAATATCTCCTGCTTGTGATGGTCTAGTCTGGACATACCTTTAGCACCCCCTGGGCTTTGCCGTTGTCTTTGTGACCTTACTTTTTATCATGCTGTAAAACTGGTCAAAGCAATGGTATTCCCAGTAGTAGTGTATGGCTGTGAGAGTTGGACCATAAGGAAGGCCGAGTGCCGAAGAATAGATTCTTTTGAACTATGGTGCTGGAGAAGATTCTTGAGAGTCCCTTGGACTGCAAGGAGATCGAATCAGTCAATCCTAGAAGAAATCAACCCTGACTGTTCCCTGGAAGGCCAGATACTGAAGCTGAAGCTCAAATACTCTGGCCACCAAATGAGAAGGGAGCACTCACTGGAGAAGACCCTGATGCTGGGAAAGACTGAAGGTCAAAGAAGAAGGGAACGGCAAAGGAATGAGATGGTTAGACAGTGTCACTGATGCAACAAACATGAAATTGAGCCAACTTCAGAGGACGGCAGAAGACAGGAGGGCCGGGCATGATGTGGTCCGTGGGGTTGCAAAGAGTCAGACTCGACTGCGTGACTGAACAGCAAAAACTGATAGCTGACCAGTCCCCTGGTGACCTACTATGGGGTAAGTTCCTGCCCGCAACCTTGTTTCCAAGAGCATCAGTTGGTGGAGACGACCATTAGGTGGCTTTCTGCCAGAAGTAGGGAAATGCTTTGGATCGCTCTACTGAGCTGTCTTGAAATGTATAAGCTCAGTTTGTGTTTCCTACCTCAGGTTCAATGTATTTGCCTGCGAGAATGACGTTTCCATCCTTTCCTTGTAGGAATGATTGGCTACGGCATGGCCAAAGCAGCCGTCCACCAGCTGTGCCAGAGTCTATCCGGCGCCAACAGCGGCCTCCCACCGGGGTCTGCGGCCGTGGCCGTTCTCCCGTAAGTGGCTGGATCTTGACCTCTGCTATCTCGGTCGATCTTTACTTACATCACAGCACATCTGGAATGCCCTGCTGGATCCACTAGCAGAGGCTGTGGTGAGCGGCAGTGTTCCCTCTAAGCTGTGGAGTCTTGTGAACAAAAATTCTACTTCGTGAGCTCCTGGCATTAAAGTTGTGAGTGAGCGATTTGGCTGCTGCATAAATTAGTTTGCTCTGGAGCCCTCCTTCCTGAGCCGAGACAACAATTTGTGAGCTGGAGGCAGAACAGAACAGAAAACCTTTATTGGAATAACATAGATAAACCAGAAGAAAGGAAAAATTTAAGGGGTAGTACTAAAACAACGTCAACTGGAGGCTAAAAAACTGTGAGCTGGCTCACACTAACTCAGCTTAGAGGGAACACTGGTGGGCGGAGCCTTCCTTCTCCAAAAGATCTGTCGCGGAGAAAAGCACCTCTGCTAGCAGAACAGAGCCACACGATCCAGTCCGATGTGTTGTATTCTGGTTTCTCTCATTCCGAAAAGGGTATCATGGAGTGGCAAAAAAGTACTCATGCTTACTTTTATATATCCCGCCTTTCTCTCCGATGGGGACCGAAAGGGCCTTACATTCTCCTCTCCTCTGTTTTATCCTCACAACAACCCTGTGAGGTAGGTCAGGTCACCCAGCAGGCTTCCATAGCACAGGTGGGGATTTGAACCTGGATTTCCCAGATCCAAGTCCTACACTTCAGCCACTACCCCATGCTGGGGAATTTCAGATTACCCTTTTTAAGCCGTTACTGTACCATCTTGGAGTAAACTGGCACAGGGGCAGCCATTTCACACAGCCTTTCCCCTACCAGTAAGGAGCCATCTCTGAAGCGGTTTGGCATTTCAGACTGCGTCGCTTTGTTTTCCTGCCCTTTTTCGCCCACGCGGGCGGTCATCTTTTTTTAAACATTCTTTTAAGAGCGCTATAGTGCTATAACACAACACCAAAACAGCACAATAGCAACCCCATTGGAATACCTGGACTCCATTGAGATACATGAGATTGGGGGATTTAAAAATAAGAAGTGGAAGCTCGGGAACGCACAGTTTGAGAACATATTTTTTTAAAGACTAGCTCGGCTTGCAAACAGCATCCTCCTTTTGATGGCCAGCATTTCAGGATGCCATGCCTCTAGGGGAGACCTGGGGATCCCCTGTACTTTCAGCCAGTGTTCCCTCTTAAGCTGAGTTAGTGTGAGCTGGCTCACAGTTTTTAGACTCTAGCTCACACATTTTTGTCTTAGCTCAGGAAGAATGGCTCCAGAGCAAACTAATTTATGCAGTAGCCAAATAACTTGCTCACAATTCTAATGCCAGGAGCTCACAAAGTGGGATTTTTGCTCACAGGACTCCACAGCTTAGAGGGAGCATTGAAGAGTTACAGTATCTCCTGCTTACAGATATCAATTCCCAGGCATATAGTGAATGCTATGGAAGGAGGACTCCGTGGCATTGTACTCCATTGAAATCCCTGTTCTCCCCAGATGTAGTGATCTCATGTATCTCAGTGGTCCAGGCATTCCAGTGGGGTCGCTATTGTGCTGTTTTGGGGTTGTGTTATAGTGCTATAGCACTCTTAAAAGAACGTTAAAAAAAGACGGAGATCGCCCGTGCAGGCAAAAAAGGGTGGGAAAACTTCATAATCGGAGGAAGCGCTACGGGGGCATTTTACACAGCAGCCCGTAGCGCTTCAGGAACGGTATAGAAAATTGAAGACCGCTTGGAAGCAGTTTGCAGGTAAAACGGTTCAGGAACACTTCCCTAACGGGCAGGAGCGTTTGTGTCTGAAAGGGTCAATATATTCCGTTAGGGAACTGTTGCTAAAATGGTTCTGTCTGAAATGTCAGTACAGAAACGGTTAGTGAACAGTTCCTGAAACGGAACATATCGGCTGTCTGAAATCCCCCGCTGGCTCTCGAAATGGGGAATGGGTTCAGCATTTTCTCTGCCAGGAAAGGACAAAGCATTTGGGACTTTCTAGTCGAGCAGAAAGATGATTTGAATTTGACAAGATGGGTTTTGTTTTCGGTTTCCCCCCTCAAGGCAACAGCAGCGGTTGGGTGGCGAAAGCTTAACCCATTCCACTCACACTGTTTTTCTGGGTGCGAGTCAGGGTCGCCCCTGTCTTGAGCAGCTCTTTTCCCCAGCAAGGGGGAACATTCCTGTAAATATGCCAAAAGTTCAGTGTCTCTTGCACACCGGCTCCTGTCTACATGGACCCCCTCCCCAACGTCCGTTTGCTTTTTAAAAAACTCAAGTGATGATTGTGGGTTATCTCCCCACATGACATGTAATGGCACTCTGAGAGGTTAGTTGTTCCAGTTTGGTGTAGTGATTAAGACTGCAGACTCTAATCTGGGAGAACCGGGTTTGATTCCCCACTCCTTCATATGCAGCTGCTGGTGTGACCTTGGGTCAGTCTTATGTTCTTTCAGAGCTGTTCTCTCAAGAGCAGTTTCTGTCTGACCTCTCTCAGCCCCACCTTCCTCACAGGGTGTCTGTTGTGTGGAGGGGAAGGGAAAAGAGTTTGTAAGCCGCTCTGAGACTCGTTCGGGTAGTGAAGGGCGGGGTATAAATCCAATCCCCCCTCCCCCCCTCCAGTCATTATTATATTTCTTTATTTATTATATTCCATTTTTATACTTCCCTTCCCTGTAAACAGGCCTCAGGGTGGTGTACAGGAATAGATAAAACAACCATGTAAAGTCGGAAAACAGTAGGACAGTCCTAGTCCGGCTTATCTGGATTTGAGCATCTGTATTTGTTGACTTATCTAGCTTGTGAAATCTGATCCCATCCTTCCTTCCCCTGGGGTTCTCTGAGTGGAGTCTGTTGTTCTCCATCCCCCTCCCCCATTTTATCCTCACAGCAGCCCTGGGAGGTAGGCCAGGCAATGTGACAGACCCATCGGGGATCTTCTTAGGGTTGCCAGATATTGCTGTCGGATGGCTAATGACCTGCCAGGGCCCATTGTCATCTTGCGCACCCGGGAAGGAAAGAGACGCAACCCTGGAGGTTTGTTGCTAACCTGAATGACAACATTGCTCCCCGTCACTTTAGTGTCTTCCTGTAATCCCCCCTGCCCCCCCCTTGTTGGGGTTTGCCCGCCCGATGGGCCCCTTACCCACTGGCCCAGATCCGGCCGCCGGGGGGAACCCCACCCCCAAAGCTCACTGGCCTGCTGCCCAAAAAGGGTGTCAAAAACCCCTGACCTCCAGACCTGGGTCTTTGGGAGTTCAGCACCATCACTGCTGAAAGGAGGTGGGGGAACAGCAAGCAGTCTGGAGTTCATCATGCACATTGCAGGGGGGACGCTCTAGCATTTGAGGGGAAACTCTATGGTTTCCCGTCAAATGACCCCTCAATGTGCCCGATGCGATGACGTCACTTCCGGGTGACCTCACTGCACGCATGCCAAAGAACTCCCAGAGAGTAACTGGGACCCCCCCCCCCCGGCTGCAATCCAGGTAAGACCTGATAACCCTAGTTCTTTTTTTTAACCTGGAGAAACGGTTTGATTTTCATCGTCTGTGAGGAGAGAAATCAGAAAAAATTCATTTATCCTTCATCCAGTTGCTTCTCCATTCAAAACTGTGCTTTTCCAGAGCATTTTGGGGGGCAGAGGGGTTTTTCTTTTACTCACATTTGCATGAAACATTTGACTTAATTCTTTGTGCAAATAAGAAATGCAGAAGGATCAAAGTCACCTTGTTTTGTTGGGGCTTCCTTTTTTATACAATATCTTCCTACGCAATAGAAAGCAAGATCTTAAAAAAATAACATGCGTACAGGCTGAGATGGACAGGATTCAAAAGAGCATGACTCACCCCCTGCGCTGCTGGTTCTGTGGAAATGTAGGCTGCGCTTATCAGATGCGCTAACAGACAGATAAAGGACTTCTCTTTCTCCATCCTAGGGTTACCTTGGATACCCCAATGAACAGGAAATCCATGCCGGAGGCAGACTTCAGTTCCTGGACACCGTTAGATTTCCTTGTGGAGTGAGTAAACAGGCCTCCTCGCTCTACAGCTGGGGCACTGCATGCATTTTGGAAATCTTGAAAATTGGTCCCTACCCAGCGGTAATGAAAGTAAATGTGTTTGCCTTGGTGTGCAAGTGGTTTCAGTGCTTTGCCAAAACTGGAACACCGTTCTTGCCTGTGGTAGGTTGTACTCGCAGGGCTTATTGCCACTAAAGATGGACTCTAGTGTGATACACCTAGGAACGCCTTCTTGGTTCTGCCCTTAAGTCATCAGACTCCTGGGATCAAACAGATCAAAAGCCTCGGAAAGATCTTCTGGCAGGAGTGGGGGGAAGAAGCCCTCTGCCTTTGGTGCTGGGAAGACTGGGCTTCCCAGTCCAGAATGGTGATGGTTGATGACAGTGAGTTAATCAGAGTTAGTTTGGGTTGTTGGGTTTTTTTACAATGAGAGTAGTTTAGCAGTGGAATCGGCTGTCTAGGGAGGTGGTGGTGAGCTCCCCTCCCTGGCAGTCTTCAAGCAGTAGCTGGACGAGCACTTGTCAGGGATGCTCTAGGCCAGTGGTGGCGAACCTATGGCACGGGTGCCAGAGGTGGCACTCAGAGCCCTCTCTGTGGGCACGCGTGCCATCGCCCCAACCAGGCCCAGACCATCATTAAAGTGTCGAATCCTCTGCCAAATAATTTTAAGTCAATGAAAGCATTTGGGATTGCTTTCCTTACTTTGTTTGGATCATCGTAAGTTAATGTATGAGTTGTTTTTTCTAAAGTAAAACCTCAGCATTCAGGTTAAATGGCCGTGTTGGCACTTTGCGATAAATAAGTGGGTTTTGGGTCGCAGTTTGGGCACTCGGTCTCTAAAAGGTTCGCCAGCACTGGGCTAGGCTGATCCTGCATTGAGCAGGGGGGCTGGAGGTGATGGCCGGCGTGTCCCCTTCCAAATCTATGATTCTATGACTCTAGTAAACTGGGATTTGAAACTAGAGTAAATGGACCTGGTTTCTCTGTATGAGAAAGGTTTGGGAGGGTGTGGAAGGAGGAGGGTGCCAGCAAAAATCAGATTTGCATACGTCCCAGCATAATTCCACAGGTGAGGAAAGACACTGCCGAGTCTAAAAGAAGACCTGCATGGTTAACAATGCAAGTCAAGGAAGCTATAAAACCCGAAGAGGCGTCTTTTAAAAAGTGGAAGGTCTGCCCCAATGAATTAAACAGGAGGGACCAAAGGTTCTGGTGAAAGAAAGTACGTCAATAATGAGGAATGCAAAAAGAGATTTTTGAGGTGCGGGTTGCTAAAAGCGGGCCCTGGGAAGAAGACTGGTTATCTGCCGCTTTGGAACTTATGTCGTTGGTCCGGATCCACCCTACCGGAACCCATCTTGGAACTGGGAACATCAGAGCACCAGCACTTTGTTATGTTTTTATCTGTTTTTTTAATTTTTTTAATTATGGCTTTTGCCCTAATTGTTAGCCGCCCTGAGCTTTAGGGGAGGGCGGGATATAAATCAAATTATAAATAAATAAATAAATCAAGACAAACAATAGATTAAAAAAGATCTGGAGCAGGAAATCAGCTAGAGATGCAGTGGGGCCTCTGGATGACAAACGAATAAAGGGATTGCTAAAGAAAGATGGGGAGATGGCAGAGAGGTTCAGTGACTTTTTTGCTCCAGTGTTCACTGTGGAAAGTGTGGGGCATACCACAGCCCCTATTTTCAGGAAGAGAGTCTGAAGAACTGAGCCAAATTGGGGTGATGAAGTTCTAGACCAATTGGGAAACTGAAAACTGATAAATTTCCAGGTCCTGATGGCATACACCCAAGAGTCCTTAATGAACTCAGATGTAAGATAGGTTACATTTAGGAAAGGGGGGGGTAGATAGAGGTTTATAAAATTATGCATGGGGTGGAGAGAGTTGATAAAGAGAATAGTAGACCAACGATCACAAAATTCAGCCACTGTCCCAGAAGACTGGAAAGTAGCAAATGTTACAGCAGTTTTTAAAAACAGATCAAGAGGGGAACCAGGAAATTAAAGGCCAGCCAGTCTAATGTCTGTCCCAGGAAATTAGTAGAAACTGTAATCAAAGATACAATTTTTAGGCACATAGAGGAACAAAGCCTGGTGAGGGAAAATCAGCATGGCTTCTGCAAAGGGAAGTCTTGCCTCACCTAACCTTCTGGAGCTCTTTGAGAAAGTGAACAAGCGTGTAGACAATGGCGACCTGGTAGACATTATATACCTGGACTTTCAAAAGGGTTTTGACAAGGTACCTTATCAAAGACTCCTGAGTAAACTTAGTGGTCATGGGATATGTGTCAGCTATGCTGCCATGGTGCTTATGGGCTGGGGTTCATCTGCTTGACCTGTGTACCAGCTGCTGCTGCATTCCTTCTTTGCTTCTGTAGTGCGTTATTAATTTATGACCTTGGAGATTGTAGTCCCTGGGCATCATGTAGCTGCGTTCCCAGCTTCGGCTCTGATGGCCTGGGACCCCTTCTCCCGCACGCAGGAGTCAGGCCAATTGGCCTATGGATGGGGGTGTGTGTGCATACGAATACCCTATATCCCATTGTGCTTGTAGAAACGTCGCCATTCCTAACAGTGACCATGTTACTGCCTCTATAGCTCTGCAATAAAGTATAACCTTTCTGACAAGTGTGTACTCTGTTGTTGGCTGTGGAACCTGACAATATGGATTAAAGACTGGTTAAATGACAGGAAGCAAAGAGTAGGAATTAATAGACAGTTCTCACAATGGAGGGAAGTAAGCAGTGGGTTTGATCTGAAATTAGGGGTGACTAGTGTAGGGGCCAGGTTTGCAGATGACGCAAAATTATTCAGGATGGTGGAAAACCAAGCTCCAAGAGGACTTCCACAAACTGGGTGAGTGGGCGGCAAGGTGGCAAATGAAGTTCAGTCTTCGTTTGAGTGTAAAGTGATGCACACTGGGACAAAAAATCCCAATGTCAAGGAAAGGCTAATGGGGTCTGAACTTGCTGAGGCTGAGAGGTAGAAAAATCTTGGAGTCGTAGTGGATAGGTCAATGAAAGGGTCAACCCAGTGTGCTGCAGCAGCGAAAAAGGCAAAGTCTACGTTAGGGATTGTTAGGAAAGGGGTTGCGAATAAAACGGCCGATATTGTACTGCCCCTGGATAGATCTGTGGTGCTGCGGCCTCATTCAGAATACTGTGTACAGTTCTGGTCACCGTATCTGAAAAGGGCATTGCAGAGCTAGAAAAAGTACAGAGGAAGGCAACCAAGATGATGAGGGGGTTGGAGCCCCTTCCCTATGAGGAAAGGCTGAGGAGTTTGGGACTTTTCCATTTAGGAAAGGGGGGGGGGTAGATAGAGGTTTATAAAATTATGCATGGGGTGGAGAGAGATGATAAAGAGAATTTTTTTCTCCGTCTCCCAAAATACTAGAGCTTGACGGCATCCAATGAAGTTGATGGGCAGTAGGTTCAGGAAAGACAGAAGGAAATACTACTTTACACAGAAAGTGGTCAAAATGTGGGATTCGCTGCCAGAGGATGTAGTGATGTCGAACTGACAAAGGAAATTTTTTCTCCCTCTCCCAAAATACTGGAACTCAACGGCATCTAACGAAGCTGATGAGTAGTAAGTTCAGGGCAGACAAAAGGAAATACTTCTTTACACAGATGTGGCGTTTCAGCTGGCATAAACTGTACCGGTTGGAACTGGTGCAGTTTATGCCGGCTGAAACGCGATCACACTTACCTCCTGTCTGCAGAGCCCATCGCTGTATGCCCGTTCACACACAGCGGGCATCGGCAGTTTGTTTGTTTGTTTTTTTTAAAAAACTCAGTTTAAGCATGCGCATAGGCAGCCATCCACAGAATGGCGATTTTCGCGCATGCGCAAAAAACCCTGTTTTAAAGGACTTACCTTTAAAGTTTTAAAGAGCAAAGTAGCCTCCTTGAGGTCCCGGATGCCTCCGAAACGCTAAACTAAGGCCCTTTCCTTTTTTAAAAAACAAACGCCAGGTCAAAGCTTCGCCCAAACGCATATCGCCGACCTTTAAAAAAAAAAATGGCGGGTGAAAATCGGAAGCCTCAGGCTTCCGAAAGGAAGTGGCTCTGCAACGGTGGAGAGCGATCAGACGGGGGTAAAGCAATTACAACTGTTGCACTCAGGATACCACCACTTGGGGACCTAGTGGCAGAATACAACGGTGTAAAGCTCTTTGCAACGGTTAGGGACGGAAGGCAGATGTTCTACGTGTGAATGCCAGTAAGTACACCGATTCCAACCGGCAGCTATTCCGTTGCAAATGCCCCGTCTGAACGTACCCAGAGAGTGATTAAAATGTGGAATTCGCTACTGGAAGATGTTGCGATGGCCACAGGAATAAACAGCTTGAAAAGGGGATTAGATCGATTTGTGGAGGATAAGTCTGTCAATGGCTACTAGCCATGGGGACTGAGGGGAACTTCCACATTTAGAGGCACTAAACCTCTGAATCCCGGAGCCAGGAGGCAACATCAGGGGAAGGCCTCAGCCTCTCTGCCCTGTTGGCCGTCCAGAGGAACTGGTTGGACACTGTGTGAGATGGGATGCTGGACTAGACAGACTTTTGGTCTGATCCAGCAGGGCTCTTCTTATGTTCTAATGCCACTAAAAGGGATGTCTGAACACAGCCATTACTTAACAGTTTCATTTATTAAGCTGGTCTTTACACTTCAGCCTGAATGGATTCAGATCCGTCATTTACGGTGCTGTCCTCGGCAGAATTGCAGCCTTCTGTGTCCAAGGGTTTGACTCTGCACAGGGTTGTGCTGTTACAAATGGAAACACATTAGAAAAATGGAAGCACTTTGCATTTCTCTAACTGCAGCAATACGAATGTGAATGTGCAGTCATGACATTGATTCACAGTGGGGTTTTTGTGTGTGTTTGTGTGTTTTAACAGCACTTTTTTTGACTGGGTCACTGGGAAGAACCGGCCGGGCTCAGGGAGTCTGATCCAGGTTGTAACCACAGGAGGAAAGACGGCGCTGACGGCAGCAAATCTCTGAACTGGAGGCGTTCCCATTTCTGCAGACAACAGTTGTTGCGAGTCTTAGTGAGTGTGTGTCTGTGTGTGTCGTCTGTGGTCATCACTTTCTGCCAATTAAAAGAGCTCTCTCGGGGAGCGAGACCCGAAGTCCTGTTTCTGTTGCTAGCCATGAGCCAGTCGCACTGAATTACCAAAGAGCACAGTGTGTCTTGCATTTAAATCAGTATGGCAAATTTCATGTCTTGCTAATGGCCAATGTGGTGCAGTGGTTACAGTTTTCGACTAGGACCTGGAGCAGTCAAGTCTGAATCCTCACTCTGTGACATGGAAGCTTGCTTGGGTGGCCTTGGGCCTGTCCCAATCTCTCTAACCTACCAAGCCAGTGTGGTATAGTGGTTAAGAGCGGCGGACTCTAATCTGGAGAGCCGGGTTCGATTCCCCACTCCTCCTCCACATGAAGCCAGCTGGGTGACCTTGGGTCAGTCACAGTTCTCTCAGCCAAAAAAAAAACACCTACCTTGCTGCAAAAAGAGCTGTAGCTTCAGGCTGCCAGACCATCTTCAGATCTCCTGGCGATGCTACACCCACTGCCAGACAATAATTATTATTAATTATTTGTCTAACCTGCCTTACAAGGTTGTTGTGGTGAAGAAAAGGTGGGGGAGGGGAGAATGACGTGGTAAGCAGCTTTGGGTCCCAATTGGGGAAATCAGGGTATAAATAAAATAACTTTGCAGCATTTGCTGAGGCTTAAGAAATTAAATAGTGGTACTAGTGGGTGAAAAATTGGTAGGGGGAAATTACTCTTAGCCTTAAGAAATTAAATAGTGGTACGAGTGGGTGAAAATTGTGCTTTGACTGTATGACGTACATTCATGTGTCTGATCTGCCATTTGGGAGAATTCCCCCCCCTGCAATATTTTTGTGACTTTTCAAGCAGATGGTTCTTTTGTTTGTTGCTGTTAATAAATATCAACCATAAATGAGACCAACTGGAATTATACCCCCCTCCCTGCTGAGTGCTCTTTGCTGTCTCAAGAAGCTCCAAAGAAGACTCCAAGGCAAGGCATGTTGCTGTTTCTGATCCTTAACAATGCCCCTTCAAACTGCAGCTGGGGCAGAGGAGGGTTGAAAGGCTCCCCCATTTCCCCGCTTAACTTGTCTTTATAGATATGTATGTATGTGTGTGGATTCTGTATACTAATAGCCAAGTTGGCCAAATCTGAGGATACTTAAATCCGGTGACTAGAGCTGTGAACAGGCAAGACAGATCTTTCTACAAACCTGAAAAGAGCCCCACGTTTGCAGGAAAATGTGAAATAAAAATAAAAGGGGGGGAGTAAAAACCCAGAAATGATAAAAAGAGTGCCTGTAGCTTTAAGCAGCAGATTCCCTCAGTGGCTGTTGCTAGGCAACCACAGTATTCCAGGCTGGGTTTCTGTGAGTACAAAGGCAAGGGGAGATGGCAGGGTCCTTTCCAGGACTATTTTTGCCTTTGACCCATTACTAGAGTTGCCAGCTCTGGCATCTAGAATTCAGTTGTCATTCCAGGAGATCTCCAGGCCCCACCTGGAGGATGGCCACCCTAACCCTGGAAACAACATCTGAGTGACTTGACACCACCCAACATGTACGGCTCAAATAGACCTGGCTGTTTGCTACAGCTCAGCAGCAGCCATCCTATGAGAGACAGTGTAGTGTAGCAGTTAAAGCTTCATAGTAGGGGCTGGGAGACCCAGGTTCGAATCCCCATCTTGCCATAGAAGCCTCAGTGCGTGATTTTGGACCAGTCACATGCTTTCAGCCTAACCTACCTCACAGGGTTGTTCTGTGGACAAAAGAGGTGAGGAGAATAACATAAGCTGCTTTAGTCACCACTGTGGAAAAGGTGGGGTTTAAGTGAAGTGACTAAATATTAAGTGTAGCTGGAGGTGGGAGGCAGATACAAGGTAGGATGGTGAATGGTTGAGAAGGAGAGGATGAGGCAGGGAAAGGGGAGGGGATATGGGACTTGGCAGAGGGAGGGAACTAGGAAATAGTGTGGGGAGGGGGGATAGAGGGGAAAGTGAAGTGCCACCCCACAAATCCTTGAGGGTTCCCTACCATGTAAGTGGGCCTGGCCTAAGTGGGCCTGGCCTTGGGGGGAAGAATAACAGAAGCCAAGAGGAGTCGTTTCTGAGCAAAGCCTCGAACTGGGATACAGCTTGTGTGGTGTCCTTTTATTAAGCTGAGCAGTGCCACCTTGTGGTCAAATCTAAATATGACTGCTTTCAAAACCTCTACCTGGAACTCACAGTTGCAATTCTGTGCGCTCTTGGGCTGCATAGAAATCAATAGGATTTAAACAGCCGAAGCACCTGCAGCCACATTCCAACCCAAAGGAACAGCCAGCGAGAACCATCAGTGCAGTGAGGCTTCTCTGGTGATTTTCTAAACTGGTTTTGCTTTGGTGAGCCCTGAAATGTTGTTTCTCTGTTTTTAGGACTTCCCTTTTAAACAAAATGATCATGCCAGTACTTAAAAGTGTTTGTTTTGTTTGTTTGACTTTTATTATGGTCAAAGGCCAGCAAAACAGACATATATTAACAAAGTAATTCCAAGAAGATGTATATAAACAAAGATGAACTTAAAAGTGACAAATCACAGATGTATGCATTTAGGGAGGTTAATGCTTTTGAGCTGCACAGAATTCTTTGGTATGAAGGGAGCCAGGGAACTTGAGAGTGGGGAGAAGCATTTCCTGTCCGGAGTTCTGAGTGGCTTTAAGCTCGCACACTCCTTCGCAAACGGGTCGGTTCAAGTAACTGGGTCTCTTTAACTGTTCTGTATGTCTTAAGATCGGGGACCAAATGATGATGCAGTCCTTATCTGTGCGCACACGTTTACAGTGCAAACGCCAGCGTAAAATCTGGATCCATGGGTTCAGACCACAGTAACTGCCTAGAACTGCACTATTAAACTCCCCGTTCTGCTCCCTAGTAGGGAGCGGTGGCGCAGGCAGTAAGTGCAGCCTGCATTAACATCTGGCCGAACAGCTTCGGCTGTTCGAGCCCCACCGCGGCCGGAGTGAGCTCCCGGCCTACGTCCCAGCTCCCGCCCACCCAGCGGCTCGAAAGCCTGTTAAGGGCGATTAGATAAATGGGTACCTGCTAATAGAGCGGGGGGGGCACCCGTCCCTTGTATAGCGGCGGCGGTGAATGGCGGCGGCGGAAAGAATATGGCGGCGGCTGGCGAGGCAAAAGGCGAACTAAGGAGGCTGGACCAACAAGCGCGGAGGCGAAGCAACGCAGGCCGGAGCCTACTTGGACGGAGGCCGCGAGCATGCGTGGAAGTGCAAGTGGTCCAGGCACGGAAATGAATTCGCAACAGCCGGAAGGAGGAACCTCAAAGACCAGCGCTGGAGTGGATGCTGCCGGACTACCTCCCGCAAGGCAGTAACAACGAAGATCCGCTACACAGAAAGCGTGCCTGGTAGGCTTCTCACGTCCCCTATATGTATGTGGCCCTAGGTTTAGGATTGTATGAATTGGAACATGTAAGCCGCTCAGAGCCCTTCAGGGGTGAGCGGGATACAAATTGAAATATAAATAAAAAATAAAATAAATAAAATAGTTCTGTGGTATGGTTGCCAAGCTCCAGGTGGCAGCTGGAGACCTCCAGGTGGCAGCGGTTAGGAGCACGGACTCTAATCAGGAAGAACCGGGTTTGATTCCCCACTCCTCCACATGCAGCTGCTGGTGTGACCTTGGGTCAGTCACAGTTCTCTTGGAGCTGTTCTCTCAAGGGCAGTTTCTTGAAAGAACTCTCTCAGCCCCACCTACCTCACAGGTAGGGGAGGGGAAGGGGAAGGAGATTGTAAGGTGCTCTGAGACTTCTTTGGGTAGTGAAGGGTGGGGTATAAATCCAATCTCCCCCTCTCCTCCCTACTGTTACAGTTGATCTCCAGATGACCAAGATCAGCTCCCCTGGAGAAAATGGCTGCTTTGGATGGTGGACTCTCTGGCATTGTACCATGTGGAGATCCTTTCCCTCCTCAAACCCCACTGTCAAGTCACAGGTGACTTGTGGTGACCACTGTTCCCTCTAAGCTGAGTCAGTGTGACTCACAGCTTTTTAGCCTCCAGCTCACAGGTTTTTCTCTTAGCTCAGGAAGGAGGGCTCCAGAGCAAACTAATTTATTCCTCAGCCAAATGGCTCCCTCACAACTTCCATGCCCGTGGCTCGCAGAGGAGAATCTTTGCTCACAGGACTCCACAGCTGAGAGGGAGCCTTGGTGGTGACCCCTTGGGGTGGTCAAGGCAAGAGGTGCTCAGAGGTGATTTGCCGTGGCCTGCCTCTGCGCCAGGGCCTGGTGTTCTTGGGAGGTGTCCCGTGCAAATACGAGCCAGGTCCCCACCCTGCTTCGCTTCCAGGATTGGACAGGGTCAGGCCAGCCGGGTCGGAGTGGATTGTTCCCATTAATCAAATCAGGAACATTTAGTTCCTTCCTGGCATGGGGCCTGCACCTCAGGGAGGCTCTCGGCTGACCCACTCCTCCAGCGGTTGCTGTGTCAAGAAGAAGAAGAGGAGAAGAGATTGGATTTATACCCCGCCCTTCACAACCCAAAGGAGTCTCAGAGCGGCTTAGAAACTCCTTTCCCTTCCCCTCCCCACAACAGACACCCTGTGAGGTAGAAGAAGAAGAAGAAGAGGAGATTGGATTTATACCCCGCCCTTCACAACCCGAAGGAGTCTCAGAGCGGCTTACAAACTCCTGTTCCTTCCCCTCCCCACAACAGACATCCTGTGAGGTGGGTGGGGCTGAGAGAGCTCTTGACAGAAACTGCTCTTTTTCAAGGACAGCTCTTATCAGAACTACGGCTTGCCCAAGGTCATCCAGTCAGGTGCAAGTGGAGGAGTGGGGAACCAAACCCGGTGCTCCCAGATTAGAGTCCGTGCACTTGACCCCCCCCCCCAACTGGCTCTCACCAGGCCTCCCCTGCTGTCCTCAAGCCCCACCAGACGAGGGCCTAGTAGCCCACTTCCATGAACCCGGGGGGCAGATGTTGCATTGGGTAAGTGAGCTCAGAAGAGCCACAAGTGGGATGGTAAAGAGCCACAGAGTGAGCGTCTAGGCATGCCAGTCTCCAGGGGTTCCCCAGAATGTCCTCAGAGCGGCTTACAAACTCCTGTTCCTTCCCCTCCCCACAACAGACACCCTGTGAGGTGGGTGCGGCAGTCTTCCAGCTTCCCGTCCAAGGGGAGCGATGTGCTTCTTCTCACATTATGGGGAAGGAGAAGAAGATGATGAAGAAGAAGAGATTGGATTTATACCCCGCCCTTCACTCAAGAGTCTCAGGGCGGCTTACAGTCTCCTTTCTCTTCCCCTCCCCACAACAGACACCCTGTGAGGTGAAATAAATAAATACATTCGGCAATGTGTGTCCAAACCACTCTTACCACACTTCTATGTCTGTCTTCATCCAAAACAGAGATGCCACCCTCCAGGTAGGACCTGGGGACCCCCCCCCCCAGAACTACAGCTCATCTCCAGACTACAGAGACCAGTTCCCCTGGAGAAAAGGGATGCTTTGGAGGGTGGACTTTATGCCATTATAACCAGGGGTCATTTCGTAGAAAAAGAGGTGCAGGAGCTCATTAGCATAACTCATTTGCATATGCCACACCCCCTGACATCACCGGAAGTGTGTCAGAAGGCAACACCTACCGCTCAGGCTCCACTGGACTTGCTCCCTGGGTGGTTTTTGGGCTTTGAGCCATGCGGGGGGGGGGGGGGGGAATGTGCAGATCTGTCCTTGCAGAGGAGGGAGAGTTTTTACCTGAATAAAACCTGGTCTTAAAGGTGCCACTGGACTCTTTTGGACCTGGGGGGACAAGGGAGCGGGGGCTCTGCAGCTTACCTGGCTGCTTCTTGCTCTGACTGAGGGCTGCTGGGAGAAGGGGGCGGGGCTTGTTGCATGTGCCCACCCCCTGGGCTCTTTACTGCCAGAGCTCTGCTCCTGTGCGCTCCTGCAGGAAATGACCCCTGATTATAACCCACTGGAGTCCCGGTCCTCCCCAGGCTCCATCCCCAAATCTCCAGGAGTTTCCTAACCTGGATCTGGCAACTCTAGACCATCCCCCATACCCTGCCAGTGCCCAGGGGTGATCTATCAACTGTATGAGTATCACTGGCATATAGGAATTGGGAT